ATATTTAGCCATAAAAAAGTTCATTCAAAATCGGGTTATACCCGATTTATATTAGTAATTTTCCAACAATCCCCCACATAAGTGGAAATCAAATCTATGCATGTATGCACACTCATGTGCTAAATCCTCACAAGACTCTATTGTATCATAAAAGGTAGCTTGTGGATTTGAACCTTTATTAGTAAACCTCATCGGATGTACTGGCGGCTCAGTAGACATAGTGCTTTGAATTATTCCTCCATATCGTACACCAAGACAATGACATTCACACAATAGAGCCTTAACTCCATTACGTTCTATTGTTATGTTTGTTTTGGCCATGGACAACACTTTAGATTCATAAGTGTTTATATTTGAAGCGGCCCTCACTTCACACTTATATAGATGACCTCCTATCAAGAGTATCCAATATTACTCCACCTTTAAAAGGTTAGGGATTCATTAAAAGTCCAAATGACTTACTCTCACCACACTCAACAAGTAATCTTGCACTTAGATTGCTTAAGGGAATAGTTTTGGACATTCTTATGTTCTAAGCTCAGCTGAATTTGTATAGTTTAGTTTTCACCTTGAACCAATTTCATGGGATCTCCATTCAGCAAGGCAGGGTTACCAATATGATCATTCTTTTCATTGTGGATTTTTAAGTTCATTCCCTCTAGCAGTATTGCTAATTGATCTCTATTTAATCCTTTAGTAAAAGGATCAGCCAAAATTTCCTTACACTTTATGTAGTCAATGGAATTAATACCATTTGTGATCAATTGGCGAACGGTATTATGTCTACGATGAATATTTCTAGACATACCGTTATACATGTTGCTTTGCACCTTCCTATAGCAGCTTCGCTATCACAATGAATCATCATAGGCGACAAAGGCTTATTCCAACATGGAATGTCGAATAGAAAGTTTCGAAGCCATTCGACTTCTTCACTTGCTTTATCTAAAAAGGTGAACTCCAACTCCATGGTTGACCGAGCTATAGAAGTTTTTTTTGTGGACTTCCACGAAACAACACCCCATCTAATACAGAAAAAGTATCCACTTGTGGAGCGAAAATCTCTCGAATCAGATATCCAGCTTGCATCACAGTACACTTCAAGTACAACTGGATATCTCGAGTATTTTAGCCTATATTCAAGAGTGTACGTCAAGTACTTTAGAGCCCTTTTCAAAGTATTCGAGTGTTCATGACTGGGATTGCTCGTAAATCTACTCAACTTTTGCAACGGATAGGCTAAGTACGGTCGTGTACAATTTGTTAAGTACATCAGACTCCCTATTATCTGTGAATATTCCAATTGAGCTACTGGGTGTCCTTTATTGGCTACCAGATTTAAGCTAAGATCAAAGGGTGTCCTCGATAGCAAACTATCATAGGCATTAAACTTCTTGAGCACTTTCTCTACGTAGTGAGATTGTGACAAGACTATTCCATCTTGGGTTCTGATAATCCTTATTCCAAAAATTATATCAGCTACACCCATATCTTTCATGTCGAAATTTCTTTTCAACATTATTTTCATATCCATGATCACTTCATGGCTACTCCCCATGATCAACACATCGGCTACATATAGACAAACAATTACATATGTATTTGATATATTCTTAACTTAAACACATTTGTCACATTCGTGGATTTTGAACCCATTTGACAACATCACGTCATCAAATTTCAAATGCCCTTGTTTTGGAGCTTGTTTCAGTTCGTACAATGATTTGATCAATTTGCACACCTTTTTTTCTCTTGTACAGGTGCTACAAAACTTTCTGGTTTTTCCATGTAAATCTCTTCTTCTAATTCACCATTCAATAATGTCGTCTGGACATGCATTTGGTGAATCTCAAGATTGTGCAATGCAACAATCGATAGAAGCACTCTAATTGACGCTATACGCATAACATGTGAATATGTATCAAAAAAGTCATGCCCTTATTTTTGTTTAGTGTCTTTGACCACTAATCGTGCTTTAAACTTATCAATCATTCAATCAGTTTTGTATTTTCTCTTTATGATCCACTTGCATCCTAAAGATTTACAACCCGCGGGGAAATCAACGAACTCCCTAGTACTTGATTTTGCTATTTATAGCTTCTTCCCAAAATTGTCCATCTAGGCTTGACTGAGCTTCCTTAATAGAATCTGGTTCATCACCAACATATACGTAATAAAATTGGGTCTAAATATTTTTGTCATTTTTACCCTTTTACCACGTCTCAGTTCTTCTTCTTTATTTTCAGTACTATCTGCTACAGAACCGCTAGCAGTTTTGTACGTCCTTTTGTTAGAACTAGATTCTGCTCTTTCTTTTAGAAGCAAAAAATAATCTCGAAGAATATAACATTCCTTGACTCAATAGTGGTACCAACAACCACCTCCGGATTTTTGGATTTATGAACTAGAAATCTATATGCAGTACTGTTGTACGCATATCCTAAATATATAGTCGACTGTCGTAGGTCTGATTCTCATTTGTTTAGGTTCAGGAATTGAAACCTTAGCCAAACACCCCCACACACTAAGGTATTTATAATACGACTTACGATTTTTCCACATTTTGTAAAGAGTCTCATTTCTCCCTTTAGGTGGTATTTTATTCAGGATATTATTTGTTGTTAAAACAGCTTCTCCCACATGTTTTGGGATAATCCTGAACTTATCAACATGCCATTCATCATTTCCTTTAAGGTTCGGTTCTTGCGTTCAGCAACACCGTTCGTATGTGGAGAATAAGGGGCCGTTGTTCCATGAATTATGATATATTCAGAACATATTTGTTCCCTTTTGCCGAGTTGATTTTCATATTCGGTCTTATAGTTTTTAAACGCTTCCACATCCTCATCTTTTATAGTTTTTAAACGCTTCTACAACCTCGTCTTTGCTTTCTAACAAATATAAGTAGCAAAACCTTGTGCAATCATCGATAAAATACTTTTTACCCGTTCCTGTTTGCACAATTTTTAGATCACATACATAAGTATGGATTAAGCCTAATAGTTTAGTACTCTTTTTCACCGAATGAAAAGGTAACTTAGTCAGTGTTGCTTCAATACAAATTTCACATATCTTATGTCATTCAAATTTAGAATTAGGAATCAGTTCTATATTCATCAACCATTTAGTTTTACATGTCCTAATCTAATATACCACAAATCAGAGCACTCAACGGTATAAATAGAAATAGGCTTTTCATTAACATTAAAAACAATTACACGGATCACGACCATTACATTCATTTTGAACAAACCCTTTTCGTGATAGCCACGACCAAGGAATGTTCTAAACATGCTAAGAACAAACTTCTTAGCATCAAACACTAGCCCAAATTCATGCTTTACAAGAATAGATCCAGAGACCAAATTCTTGCGGATGTTTGGGACATGCAGAACATCCTTAAGCTTAAACTCCATTCCAGAGGTTAGCTTCAGCATCACAGTGCCAACTCCAACCACATCAGATGTGGAGGAGTTTTCCATGTGAAGTTTCCGACCAGTAGAAGGAGTGTATACAGAAAACAACTCCTTGTTAGAATACACATGGCGAGTGTACTCAATATCAATGTACCACTTCCTAGGTTATCCACCATGTTGGCTTCAAACACCATAGCCGACATATCAAAGTCGGTCAGTTCACCCGGCACAGGGTTGTGTTCAACAGCAAGGGCACTCAGTTGTTCCTTTTTTTGTGCAGCCTTCTTAGTCTTCCTGCAGTCCTTAGAGATATGGTTCGGCTTTCTACAGTTGTAGCAAGTGCCAGTAAACATCCAAACCTTCGTGGGTTGCATCCCTTTGTTGAGAGACTTCCTCTTCTCGAGTTGCCTTGCTCCAACAATTTCAAACGAGCCTCCATCATCGGGTCTTTCCCCGAAGACATACGGTTTTATTCTTCATTGCGAAGACGAACCACGAGGTTTTCAAGACTCTTTTCCTTCTTCTTATGTTTGAGGTAGTTCTTGAAGTCTTTCCAACCCGACGACATCTTCTCGATCACAGTCGCAACTTGAAACGACTCGCTTAGAGACATTGCTTCACCATGGATATCGTGCAACATGAGTTGGAACTCTTGCACTTGAGATATGACGGTTGTTGATTCGACCATCTTCAAGTCATGAAACTTGCCGACGACAAATTTCTTCGCCCCGACAACCTCAATCTTGTACTTCTTTTCCAAGGCAGCTCAAAGCTCATTGGCAGAACCAATCGAGTTGTACACATTGTATAACTTGTTACTCAGTCTGTTCAAGACATAATTCCAGCAAAGGTAATCATCTTGCCCCCAAGCTTCGCGCGCAACACGTAACTCAGCATTGGATTCATTTTCAGCCATGATCGGAGGGTCGTCCTTCAGATACTTCACCAAACCTAAAGTGGTTTGGTAGAAGTGCATCTCTGCGACCACCTCTTAAAGTCAAGCCCGTTAAATTTTTCGGGCTTCTCAGCAGGGGACGTGAACAGCAGGTTCGGGATGATGAACAACAAGGTTGATCGGATGTTGAAATTATGATCCTTCTCCGGTGGATGCCATTAGTTCAGTAGGTGTCGAATATTTGTCTTGCGATTGTTACACAATATGTGTTTTGATTACAACGGGAACCTATGAACTGACTGAAGAGATCAGTTTGTACAATATGAACTAAAAAAGTAATATAAAATACAACTCGAATGCAAACAAATTAAACCGAGGCGATTGAAATCATTTTGCAAGACAAATATGCCCCGTATAGAGCTTGACGGGTCAGTGCGTAATGTCCCCAAAGATATAACGGTTGTACAGTGGGAAGCTATTGCACACCAGTCTTCAGGGTTATGGCGAACAAGAATAAGGACGAGAACTGGGCACTATGTATGCGTGAGACAATGAGAGATGAGAGAATTGAGAATGCAGATGAATAGTTCTGTGTCTCGATCAAGTCTCTACACTGTCCAATTTATAGGACTTCCTCCTAGGTGGGGGTGGCTCTTAATCTTGTAACGACTAAGCCATAAAGATTATTCATGGCTGGTTTTGAGGCAAAATTTCAAAATTAGTCCTATAACTTGGCCACTGTCCAAAAAACCGCCCCTATATTGACCACTTTCAATTTAGGTCCTATAATTTGTCAATTTCATCAATTTTGGTCCTTTTTATCCGGACCATGGATTAAAAAATGATGTGGCATGACGTGTCATTTTTTTATGGTTACATGGCGTGATTATGATCTACGTGGCACGTCAATTTTGGTCCTATAATTTGTCGATTTCATCAATTTTGGTCCTTTTTTCATGCCACGTCACTTTTTAATCCAGGGTACGAATAAAAAAGGACCAAAATTGATGAAATCGACAAATTATAGGATCTAAATTGAAAGTGGTCAATATAGGGGTGGTTTTTTGGACAATGGCCAAATTATAGGACCAATTTTGAATGTTTGCCCTGGTTTTGATGACTATTGAAAACTTGTAACCACCAAGCCATTAACAACCATTCATGGCTTGTTTTGATGACTATTCAAAATGTTTCATGCTTAACTCACCATTAGTTCACATCATAACTCCTGAAACCGTCATGTGGTGGACAATTGGAAGGTCACAGTCCAGGTTCTATGTACCTGGAACGTTGTCACATGGGTTGGGTCAAAACCCGAGCCCAAAACCAACTCGGTTTGTACATCAACACTTGGTGCATAACTTTGTTGTTGTTGTGACCTCTCCAACTCTCTTTATTATAATAAAGAGAGTTAATCTCATTGACCCTTCGAATCCCGCAACTAACGTTCTGCGTGCCCGTTTATGGCTAACATTTATTTCTCACTCACCGAAAATCAGTTTTGATATTTACGTATACCACGAGTATCTACTCGGAACGTAGAAATTTTCTACATAATTTGTTTTAACCCGAATTAAATATTTAGCTATAAAAAAATTAGTCATACCCAATTTTATTTTACTGATTTTCCAACAAATGTTTCATATGATATTTAGAAGAGAATATTATTAGTACATCTTTTATCATCCGATAAAATTTTAATATTGTGATGTTTATAATATCTTTTCTTTTATAATAAATAAGTGTGCATATTATTTAGCCGTATTTGAATTTTTATGATTTGATTATAAATAGGGGTAGACTCGGTCGAGGTGGAGTTGGAGTTAGAGAAGGTGACGGTAATAGGATACGTTGAGCGGAATAAGGTGTTGAAGGCGGTGAGGAGGGCGGGAAAAAGGGCAGAGTTTTGGCCATACCCGAACCCTCCACTCTATTTCACAACGACCAACAATTACTTCAAAGACACGACAATCGAGTACAAAGAGAGTTACAACTACTGGCGCCACGGGTACAATGCCTCCGACCGCCATGGCTCTCTCCCAGTCACCCATCGTGGAGATGACAAAGTAAGCAACTTGTTCAACGATGACAATGTCAACGCTTGCCGTGTAATGTGATTTGTAATAAGTACACTTTGTGATGGGGATGTCACTATACCACATCATGCATGTACTCACGTGTATGTATATAAGTATATAAGAGGACGGGTTCAGTGGTGACGATTGTTAATGAAGAAATAAGAATGCAAATTAACAATAAGATATGATACATTCAACGGTCAAGGAGGAATCTAAATTACACAATAATAAACTCACCCTCTCGTGTTTTGGCAGCCACGTCCAGGTGACCAAAAATGGACATTTAGGTTCATAAATTCACACCATACATACATTCATATATATGACCAATAGAGGTCAAGTAGTTGACAATGTTCAAATATCAAAACATTTACAATTAGTGACCAAAATAGTAATTATTAATACATAGTATAACTCTTTCAACATCCGTAATAAAATAAAATACCCAAAAACTAAGCTTTAAAGTTAAAAGGTGCTTGTGTCATACACTTAATTCACTTTGTGCTGATACATTCACAATAATGATAAAGTGATATGCATAAAATGTCACCGCCTAAATGTTAACAAGTACAAAAAATTACTTATGGAACGTTGCATTTTTTTCTTTAAAGTTTGACTAGTTAACCATATATAAAACATTTCATTTAATCATATCAAAAGGTTATTATTTATTCATGTTATTTTCACTATCTGACATTCGATCATTTGATTCTATTTTCATATGTACATATATACAAGGTAGGTCTTGTGTTGATCTATCTTATGGTTAGCAAGTCATACTTTTCTAGTAAATGTACAACTTTCACCCTCAAATCTTAAACATTAAATTACAATATAAGAATATGACATTATATAGATCAAGTATGTTTTTTTTTTTTAAATATAATTACCTAATGGTTAGACAGTCTAATAACTGCTTTGTGCATGTGCGTGTCCAAGTTGTTGGGTTTGCCTAACCTTCCATGCATATCAATGTTCGTAACACCCCATCTAGACTTACTAAAATCAGAGTAAATTTTTCGTGCTATAATAAGAAATCACTAAATTAAGTATTAGAAAATTATCTTTAATCTGTTGGATGCTACTCAACTTTAATTTATTCTCTTTAATTTACTATGCATGCAACCAAGTAAAATTCATTGTAGAATGAAGGCCATCAAAATTTCTAGAATTACACATGCAGTCTGAAATCCTGAAATACTGAAATAATGTAATACTGAAATACTGAGTGCGGAAGCGAATGCAAGCATGCAACAATAAAACATAATAATTCAAACATGTTCAAATTTACATGTTTACTAAAAAATATCCTTGCTATGACCACCACCACATCATCGGCTCACGCTCCACGCTCGACACCATCACCTGAAAAATGGTTAGTGGGTGGCGGAGCATAAATGACTCAACGATACTTCGTAGGAACCGACACTGAATATACTGCTAATATAACAAAATATCATGACATCGGCATATATGCAATTACTTATTAGATCGATAGAAATGATACGATGATAAACATTCATCCAATAAATACATAAGTAAGCAAACTACTTATAACTGCTACTTAACTGACTGTCTATAGCTGTTGTTCAAGTGACTGTCTATAATTGTTGTTCAATTGACTATCTATAACTGTTGTTAAACTGACTATCTATAACTGTTGCTCAACTGACTATCTATTAATGTTGCTTAACTGATTGTATATAATTGATGTTCAACTAACTGTCTATAACTGCTGCTCAACTGACTATCTATAACTGCTGCTCAAATGACTGTCTATAATTGATGTTCAACTGAATGTCTATATTTGCTGCTCAACTGACTATCTATAACTGCTACTTAACTGATTGTACTATACTTGTTGTTTAACTGACGGTCTATAACTGTTTCTCAATTGACTATCTATAATTGTTGTTTAATTGACTGTCTATAATTGTTGTTCAAATGACTGTCTACAACTGTTGTTGAACTGACTATCTATAACTGCTGCTTAATTGATTGTATATAATTACTGTTCAACTGACTGTCTATAACTGTTGTTCAACTGACTGTCTATAACTACTGCTCAACTGACTATATATAATTGCTCCTTAACTAACTGTTTAACGGGCGAGAGGGCACTTGGCCTTTGCGCTTATGATAAGCAATGGTAGGGCCTAATCTGTAGGTCATTGCTCATGCTAGGGCAAACTAACTCATATGAACTTCTAAAGTTGGAGCTTAACTCAGAACTACACTAGAGTTTTTATCTCATCTTAACTAGCATTCGGTTCACTTAGCTAGAAGGGACCTACTCGCTAGGTAATTGCCTATATTCAGGAAAAACTAACTCTTACATACATACCTCATCCAGGATATTGCGATTATATAAAATGTAGTACCCAATACAAAATCCCCACCTTCAAGTTGGCGTATGCAAATGCTGAAATATCTGGTAGCAAGTGGAGGCTCGACTCTCCTCAGGCTACAAAATTATGAGTGATATATTCTAAGTATTGGGTTATAAATATTAAATACTATTTTGATTATTAATTATTTTATTTTGATTTAATCGTCAAACCGGACTTCGGGTCAAACCGAGCCACGCCCGTGGCCACGCCAAAACCTAGCCACCGCCCCTCCCTCTCTTCTTCTTGTATATTTGGTAAGTAAATCAAATTTGGAGCCTTCCTTTTTCCTTCCTTGTGATGTTTATGGTAAGTGCTTAATTTTGGAGTCTTACCATACCTAAGGAAGCCTATATGAGGAAGAGATTGCCCACTTGCGTCCAATTATTTTTCTTTCTCCCCAGCAAACTTTTTCTCCTCTCCCTCTCGATCACTTGCTCTCTTCTCTCTTCACTCTCGGCCATCGCCTCAGCCCCGATCAGCCGTCCTCTGCCGCAGCACCATCGCACGGTCGCCCTTCGCCCTCGCCATCACCATCGCGACGCCATCGTCCAGCGCCTCCGTTGCCATCGTGCACGCAGCGTCATTCGCGGTCCCAGGCCCTCGCCTTCTGTACGCCAACGCTTCCCAGTACTCAGCAGACGCCCGCGAAAGCCTCCCAGTGGCCAGCAGTCGCCCGCTCGCGCGCCCAGCGGCATCGCAGGCCATCCCCCACACGCTCGCAACCCCTCCTCGCCCGTTCAAACCCTTTTTCGTGCAAATCTCCCCGAGAACGGTACAAAGCTGTCTAAACCCCTCTTATTTTATGTGTATATGTGTTATATGTTAAGCCTTGTGGAGGATTGCATGCTAGGGTTTGAGTTTTGGCCACTTAATTTCGTATATTGTTCGTTGCTTGCGTTCGTATGTGATTTATGTTCAAATCGTGAATAGGGTTGTGGATGTTTGGAACATTTGAAGTCTTTGGCCTCATGATGAAGGCCTTAGACGAAATTTTTGGGTAAATTATTAATTATGCATTTTTGAATCGAGTAGTACTGCTGAATATTCGAAAAAACATTTAAAATCGTATACTCGTCCAATTGCTGTGAAAATTGAATTGTATTATCTTTTGACTGTGATATATGTTGTGTAAAAATTTCAAGTCAAAATGAGATATGTGGCTATGTCAAACGTGGAATTGAAATTCTGGACATAAACTTTGAAAAATTGTTAAAAATCATATTCTTGGAATTTTGCTGTGATTTTTGGTGTGTTAGTAATTTTATGATATGTGTGTTGTGTCCAAATTTCGTTGAAAAATTCAAAGGATTGCTTGGTGAACTAGAAAGTTCATAATTTCATCGTCTTTTCGTAAAAAATTGGTTGTTTATGTTAAACTGAAGAGTTGAGTCTGAAACCTTGTGAAAACGTGCCTTTCTGGGTCTATTTTAATGTGTAAAAATTTTAAGTAAATCGGTCGAGTGAATTTTTAAATCGGTCGGTCCTATTTGAAACCCTGCTTGTCTGCCGGGCCCAGTGAACTGCTGCCAGCACCCGCCAGTGCCCCAGCGCGCCCCAGCGCGCCCGCACAGCGTGATGACGGATCGTGTTGTTATCTATACGGGTTGTGAACAAACGGCACACTTAGGGCCTTCGTTGTTATCTATACCGATCTTCCACGCGTGTTCCGGCACTCAACTGCTTTTCCTATTCCTGTGAGGATTAGTATTCGCGCCTTGACTATTCCTACGAGGATTAGGCTTACCACCCCGGTCTTGATTTGTGCCTCACGCGTGTCGCCGTGCGCCCCGCGCTCGTCGTCCAGCACGTCCAATGCCCGCGCATTGTCCATCGCTCTATGCGCGCCCGTCCCGCCTGCGCGTGCACATTGTACCATTGCCATGCCTAGTCCCACGCGGACTAGGTCTCGTGCGTTCGCTGGCCACTTGCGCACAAATGCGCGCCTCGCGTCCTCGCCAGCTGCCTTGCGCGCGTATCGTTGCGC